GTTTTCATCAATTAAAATGAGAATAATCCATACAGATAGTGTGCAAACATTTCAAAGTCATGAGTTGAACAACGCTGACTCCGCGAGATTAAATATTAGAGCCTAACACAAAGCGGAGCGGCGGCGCACTGGCGCCTACAAACCTAACAGGGATACTTCACGCACTGCGCAATGCGTGAAGTATCCCTGTTAGGTCTGTAGGCGCCAATGCGCGTTTTGCGCTGGCTGTCCGCCTGCCGCCATGCGCCGCAGCGTACCACGGCGCTTGAAGCAACTATTTCACACCAGACGTATTGCACAGTATCATACAAAATTGAAGGCGCTCCAACATATTAGGAGTGGCAGGCATCCATCAAAAGTACGGAGCTTTCCTCGCAAAATAAATCAAGATACTACGGCCCAAAAAGAGAGCATTGGTACAAAAACTCACTAAGTCCTAGCATCCGTAATTAGTAACGGATAGCATACAATTATTGTCAGGCTGTTGCTTAATCGCCATCGGCTATAAAAGGCTATAAGAAATTGTATTGCCGGCTATAGAAGCTATTGGAAATCTTACAGCCGGCTGTGGGTCTATGGTATTTTGGAACACAGATTCTACTGCCAATTTTTACCAGGGGAGGGACATCTTCATATCAAGGAAGTACTGCTGGCTAAGAAAATCAGTGACTTTATCAATTACACCGTTCAAAATCTCGGAGTGGAGTCCATCCGGTGTGTATTTTACTCCTAGGCAGTCGGAGTTGTACCGCCGGTTAGTACGGAGTGGAATTTACTCCTTTTGCAGGGTGCATGACCTCTGACCTCGCTCTTATGGAGCACGGAATCAACTCTTCCCATGTAGCAGCGATTGCGATAAATAGCGATTTTATTGGTTGGTTATTGCGATTATATCGGTGGCAATAAATAGAGATAATATCGCACTAAAAATTGCGATTTACTGCAATTAAATCGCTACACGTTGTAATCTATTGTTCGATAAAATCTCGATCAATTTTCGTCGATAAAATCGAAATTAAACCGTCATTTACTTATCGCGATTTTTATTTCGAAAATATCGCGATATTATCCCGAAAAGATCGAGGATAATCGCTCAGATGTCGATGATCCTAGCAATTTTGTCGCCGATGAAATTGCAATATATCCCGATTTATCCGTTGAAAAATGCTACTTGGATTACTGCGGATTTGACTTCATTCTTATAGAAATTCACTCCTTATTCTTATCACTCGTGTTTTTTGGGGCTCCGGAGTGAAATGCACTCCGAAATTTCTCTCTGAGATTTCTAACAGCAAAGTATATTCTTAAGGACAGGCAGTTGTAAAACTGCCTTTGGAATTCCAGCTACACACACAAATTTTCTCTCAACTATTATCATATTTGAAAGTCATCGAAACACCAGAATTTAAGCAGAGCAATTACTTTCACGCTTAGTAGAGTGAGACAGGTTAAAGTAGAATCCCAGTTCCATCGCTTAAAAACAAACAGTCTCACTACCTAACAAACAGGAGCACATTCTTTTCATAGAGGCTTGCTCCATGCGTATTTCTAAAGCGTCTCGCCAACGAGCCATCACGAATTGAGTAGTGAAGATTTGAATGAAAATGACACTTTCAATATAGAACAGTTCTGTTTCAAAACCACGCAAGCACCATAGACTTACGGGTCTCTGGATGCTAGAATCCGGCCGCACTTTCCGTTCTAGGATTTTCGCGCCTGCGTGAATGGTTCGCGCCTTCATTGTGCATAGCTCGCGAATACCGCAGCGCGCGACGAGTTTTTACTCGGACCCATTCACCGATATTCTCCCCCGACTTGGAGTCGAAAGTTCTCATAGACCCGGTAGCGCCCCGCGAAAACAGCATCTTGACATGCAAATCCACCGCGTAAATTGTCTGCGGGCTTCGAAACTCGCGTGTCTCATTGAGCGAGAAAAAACCGCCTAATTCAAATGAAAACTCGACTTATAATAGCGATTTTTGTTCAACTGTGAGGGGTATTATGCAACTTAACGACAAAAGCTCGAAGCCGGGATTTGCATGAAAATATGCTTCTCGTAGTGCGCGTCGGCCCGAAGGACTCTTTCCTTTTGTTTTTTCGTTCTGCGGCCGTTCACGACGCCCCGGTCAGGGATTGGACGTGATGCAAGTGCGAGCTCCTAAAATTCAACGCGAGTTCGAAAACATGCGTGGTTGGAAACTCTGATCCGTGCCAAAATTTCGACGAAACCCCCCCCCCCCCATCTTCACCGAACGTGGCGACACTTCGCGCGTGACGCCTTCTGGACGGAGTCTTTCATTTGTAGCTGTTTGACAGGCATGTTGATTGAGGAGGATTTTACACTCGCAACTATTATACAAAAGTTACGTCCACGGAGCAAGAATTGTTTGAAAAGGGCAATACTTGCTGGGGGACAAGGGGCTTCAAAAATAGTTACGACCATCGATCGGAATTGCCCCAAAGTAACGCTTCTAGCTGGTTCCGTCAGGACTGTACGCGAAGTGAATGAGGAGAGACACAGACTCAGGTAACAGAGAATGCACGGGGAAGGATTGGATTAAATTCGTGCATGGAGTGGAGTTTGATAAGATAAAAATTAAAAGTTTTTAATACGCGTATGCCTCAGAAAATTGCAACGATTGTCCGATCGATTCATACAAGTTTACAAACAGCCGTAGGGGACTGGATGTGGTGGACTGGTGCAGTAGCGTGACGTGCTTTGCGATATATCGATTGATCTGCCGTTTAAACCTATGGAAAAGTATCGATACATAGAGTGTTCGCGACGAACACCTTGATAATCGATTCTTTGGCATAGCTTCAAGTGGGGAAGTATCGAAAATCGATGATATATGCCTCGCCACTGGACTGGTGACTCCTTTTCTGTCAACTTGCTCCATCTTTTTTACGCTGTAGATAGTGTAAAAAAGGTTCAAATGGCGAACGTCCCTAGTTGTAATTTTTTTCTTCTTTTTTTCCCCCTGTGGCACATAAATGTTTGTGATGGGCCAAAGTCTGGCTGTCTGGGTAACAAATAAACAGTAGCCAATGAAATAAAAAAGTACGGCGGGAGAAGGGAGGGAGGTAAATAAATACCGGCAAATAAGGAGTTAAACTGATAAACAAATCATTTACGGCGCGAAAAAAAAACGAAACAAAATCAGCGGAGCGTCGGTGGCGACGGAAAAAACTGACGGATGCCGATACTATAGAAACGACAGAATCAGGTGATTTAAATAGGCTAAGTCCCAAAGCAGCGAGTCATAAAAAATATCTGACAGGAGGTAAACAAGGGAGAGGACGGGAATAGGAACCAGGGAGGGGGGAGGGGGGCGGGAGCCATAACAAAACCGAGGCCGACGAAAAATATGGTGGGAGAGCTCGCGACGAGACGCAGCGAGTTGCCAGTTGACGCGTTTGCGCTCAAGATCCATAAACGCACGACTTTATGGCTACTTAAATCGGCTGAACTCACGGTGAACTTGCTGAGAAGCTCATGGCGAGAGGTTAGGTTGGATGGTATAGATTTGATGCGCGTATCACAGCGAGATTCCGCTACTCGTGATGACTCATAGGTGAAAATCGATTGCACTTAATCTTGGTGGATTTTTCAAAAATTCAAAAAAATAATTATGGAGCGAATGGGATTTTGGCGGAGGGATATAAGAAATACCGCATCGAGGACTTTGACTAGTTTCAGCCACGACTGAACTTGAAATGCCAGATAGCATTTCGATAAAATCTGAACCTTTTCTTCACATCACAGACAGCGGAACGCTTTTTCAACTCCAAACAACGCGAACAACAATGGAGGAAAATACGAAGTTGGGTTCGAACCCGACATGCAACTATTTTAACTCCACGGTGGGCCGGGTTGCATATGCTAGATTTTGCAGGAGAAATCTGGGATCTGCCCACAGCTCAACTGCGGTCTCGATATACGACTCTCGCGATAGGATACAGGTGCGATCAGTGTTTTTCTCGAGCGCATGCAACTCGGCCCACCGTGGAGTGCTGTGTCCGAACCCAACTTCGTATATTTTGCCATTGTTTTATGCTTACAATCAGTGCATTATTCAAATGCCGACTTCGTCTTTCGGAAAGCATCTCAGTTCGTTAGAATCGCGTTACAAATCTGTGCGACAGTAACGTCCAAATGGTTGACCGAAATATACGTCGCGCTCGAAGAAAACATTGATTGCACCTGTGCCGTATCGCGAAAACCGTGGGCAGGCCTCAGAGTTCGCCTGCAATATCGAGCGTATGCAACCCGACCTACCGCAGAGTTAATATAGTTGCATGTTGGGTTCGAACCTGACTCCGAACGCTCTTCCATTGTTTTGCGCTCCGCGCATTATTCGAATGCTGAGTTTATCTTTCACAAAGGCATCCCAGTTGGTTTATATCATTTTGTTCATAACGTTTTTTCTCTTTTAATTGAGGAGTCTAGAAGAATTTATACGGGATGATTCCAATCTTAAAGGGGGTGCTCAATGGATGACGAAATGAATTTTAAACAGAAAATCGTGTTACCTAAATTAGTTTTCTGAGAGAAAGACTGGAATAATACGTATTCCGCTTCAATTTGAACGATTGTTATGGCATGATTGTAACGCAAGCTTAGACCCCCCTCTCCATAAGTGTTAAGCTTTTTATGAACCACCCCTCATAGCTGATGTAACCGCTGTAAGTAATGCGCCTGTCCATCCCTGCTAAAAATGGTGAGTACAAATGAGTAGAAAATCAAAGTCACATGAAAAGAACTTCAATTCATATGAATAGAATTTCAACTTATATATACGAATAGAATTTAACACATATGAGCAGAATTTCTCTATCCAGTTTTCGCTAACTTCTGGGACTAGAGATGCCCACTCATAAGACAAGAGATTTCAACTCACACGAGTTCAGCGTTGAATCTACCGTGTCCGATATCTCAGAAACTAGTCACCGCATTAAAAAAAATCATAAGAACAAAATGTTTTTATTTTTTAAATTTACCTTTTACGTCGGTGTCTCCTGGTCACGAACAGCACTTCTGAAAAATGAAAAAAATTAAATTTATATGAGTTGAACTTTTCTATTCTTATGAGTAGAATATTCTAGTGATATAAGTAGAATTTCTTCTCATTTGAGTAGAATTTCTACTCATATAAGAAGGAAGTTCTACTCATGTGAGTTGGCGAATTCTGAAAAGCCTACTCGTCATTTTTAGCAGGGATTTTGGTTTTTATCTGTTTTTGGTATTCCTGAGGTAAACAACCAACACAGTTTTTCTAGAAGAAAAATAAAATATAGATCGTGCGTGGATCTACGGAGTATTCTCGTTCCATCAAGGACGCTGCGTTCTTGACATCGACATCGAAAACCGCGTGTTTTAACACACTCGCTCGATTGATGCCGAAGTTTTTACGTAAGCATGATGACGGCAGAGGCCTCCTCATACGTATTCAGGGTTCCTGCAGTGCGAAGACAAAAAAAAATTCCCGGACTTATTCAGGTTTACCCGAAGCGGCAAAGCTGGAATTTTACAGCTTACAGGTTGAGGATCTGTTGTCAAAAATGAATAGAAAGAAGGAGATGAATTTTCGACTTTCAAGAAATATTTCGTAGATAATTGCAAAATTGAAAATTGGCTTTTTTCTTCATCAAAGTTAAAATTTTCCATCATCAAGAATGAACAAGTAAATGAGACACACATAGAGAGACCGAGAGCTCTAGAGAATCTTCTCAAAGAGATTCATGCAAAAAAGACGTGAGATTTCTTTTTCCCCCCAGAAATCTCTGACTGTCGGTGAAGTCTGACAATCGAATATTACGATATGGGCGATGTGAAGAAATGCACCAAGTTTGGACGTATTGCCAAAAAACACAGCTGTTTTTCCTACATCGGGGAGGGAGAAAAGCGACTTTAGGGTAAACTTTCTTGCTGGTTGGTTACACGGAAGTAGATGAACCAATCGGAGGTAAGACTCCACGAAACACCGAAAACATTTCCTCGGAAATGTCTTAATAGGATGAAGAGACTGAACTAATTGTCGAAACACGGCCGGAAAAAGCAAATTAGAAGTAATCTTAACGTTGGAAGACAGCTTAACCAAGTCAACAGCATTGTCAACGCAGCGCGTGCATTTCCACCATGGGACCCGTCAAGCTGCCGCCTTGCTGTTGACGTCATACTCGAGGATTTAACAGCGTTTTCGGCCTATATTTTTTGTGCACTTTCGAATCAGTTCACTCTGCAACGATACGACTAAAACACGAAAAAGAAAATTCTGAATTTTATTTTTGCCTCTCTCGCTTACATTGCTCACGGAAAGATTAGCAGTTCGGGGTCTACTTCGTATTTTTTCGTGTTTCGGACCGTAGGTAATACCTCCGCTTAGCTTTGGCACTGTCCGCCGTCTTCCGTTCAAGGAGTTCCTCGAACCTCCATCTGTTCTTTAGGGCCGAATTTTGTCGGGCAAAACGGGCATGCTTAAACTTGTTGGAGTCGCAACTGCACTTTAAGTCATCTCAGAACCTCTCCAGTGGTGATGTCGCAAGTTGGCATAGAGTACATAGAGTCGTAATGTAAATGGGAGAGCTGGCGCCATGTTCTGCTCGACGAATTCCGAACCCGGTGTGCGCCGAGTTCGGGTTGCTTTTTCGATACATTTTCGATCGGGGTGGAATACGTAGTAATTCCTATCTCCTTTGTTGTTGTTGTTGTTGTTGTCATCGGATGGCCGGGTACCCGTGTATCGCAAACAATCGATTATGTATTAAAAAAGTGACCCGGCGTCACACAGGAGTCTCGGAATTCGGGACATGGAAAATGCTTAAAAGTGGCGCCAGCTCTCCCAATTACATTACGACTCTATGTACTCTATGCAAGTTGGCGACACAGGGTTCCCTTCATTTGAATCCATCAAAAACAGTGTTCGATAGTCACCTGTGAGTTTTAGGAGCCATATGGCGCATCAAGCTCGACTTTTAGGGGCCGCATTGAAGATTTTTTAGGGGCTGGATTGACTTTTTGCCAATATATCACGGCGCATATAGTGAAAAACTAGACGCAAGATGTTTTAGTCACAGAACTAGTAAGTATAACTTGGGAGCGGAAATTTTGAAAATTCACAAAAAAGAAAAATTGGAAATTTTTTTTGGGAGGGGGGATTGGCGCGGAGCCATCATTTTTTAGGCGCCACGACAGATTTCTTAGGCGCATTTTGGCGCCTCTGAGTTTCGAACACAGATCAAAAATACAGATTCAGATGAGGCAAGCGTAACCTGTCTCACTCAGGAATCGATTATTTGAACTGCATTTTGCAATTTGGACCTGTAAAATCTGGCTCATCTGAAAAAAACACTTATGTGTATAGGGAAACTAATGGCACATACGTTGTTTTTAAACCGGGCCGGAATTTATAGGTCCGAATTGCAAAATGCAGTCCATTTTAGATACACTTAAATGGAGGAAAAACAGTGTTGCCGACTTTAGCAGTGGCGTGGCGTGCTTTGCGATATATCGATTGATTTGCCATTTAAACCTATGAGAAAGGATCGATAGACAGGGTGTTCGCAGCGAACATTTTAATAATCGATTATTTACCATACCTTCAAACGGAGAAATATCGATAATCGATCATTCACGCCTCGCCACTGGACTTTAGGAATTGCCATTGGGCCTCCGATTGGCCGGTGCACCCCCCTCCCGCCCATGACGCCACTACTCTCCCGGTAGACGGTCATATTTAATGGATCATGTAAACAGGGCTTAAACCCCCCCCCCCTCCCTCCCTCAGCGGACGTCCGACCTGAACGGCAAGTGAGCGTACGAGGGCGAGCCGTGGCGTAGCGCCAGCGCGAGTAATCATCTTTCGCCTCCACTCGAATCGGCCCGTACTCGTACGACAATCGTCCATTCTGAATGCTCCGATTGTGATTTCATTCATGGCAGAGGAGCGCTCATTGAGACGGAACCCATTGTCGGAGCGGAGGACACGCGCTACCGGACACTCGATAATTTAATTGCGCCACCGACGCCAAGCGCCTTCCGCGGATACGGAAGGTGGCCGCTACCACTCGGCCCGAAACGAGTCGCTTTTTTGATGAGCCCTCGGCTCGAGCGCAATGCCTACGTTCTAAGGCTCATCAGATGATGGACATGTTCGGGTTTGACATCGTGGACTCGGAAGGAGGCCGGATCAATGCCGGCGCATGATTGACACTTTTTTGGTGGTTTAACCGGGCGCCATGACAGTGGAGCTACAAAGGAGGACACTTCGGCCGGAGAATTACTCCGTGCATGTGACCCGGAGATCTGGTCATCAGTGGCGAGGCGCGAGTAATCGACTATCGATATTTCCCCATTTGAAACTGTACTAAAGAATCGATTATTAAGGTGTTCGCTGCGAACACCCTGTATATCGATCTTTTTCCACATATTTAAATGACAGATCAATCGATATATCGCAAATCACGCCACGCGACTGCTGGTCATGTGGATCTTTCGAGTTTTCGGATGGTGCATCGAAAAATTTGGGGTCCAGTAGTTTCCCTTGCTACGAACATAGCATGAAATTGCATGCAAAATTACCTGAAAAATTGGAAAAATAATATTTACCAATTTTCCCGGAAATTCGTGATTTTCGAAAGGAAATTTTGCAACGCCTGGAGGCTCATACAGCGTTTCTCCTTAGCACGGCAGTCTATTTAACAAGGCTTGACGACGTAATCGAAGATAATGCTAGAAAAACACGAGTTTGTTTACGATGTTTCAAAATGCTTCTCCCCAGGTTTATTTTTCTACAATCAAGTTGACTGATACTTCTGTATAAAATTTTTACAAACTAGTGGTGAATTTTTAAAGAAAAATCATGGTTTCAAGACTTAGAGACAGCTTTAGACAGGCGTGCGTCCAAAAAACCCATGAGTCCTGGCTTCCGTTGATAACGCAGGACGCTAGGGGTCATGAGTTTTTCGACTTGCGATGTCCAAGCCTGCGAAAAAAAATTTGCGGAGGAAGGTATTACGTTTAGCGATAGGGGACTACTATTTAGCTCATTTCAGAAAGAGCGTAAGTACAATTAGTGTCCTTATGCATGTGGGTGCTTTTATGGATGAACCAGAGATAGGATTTGTATAGTGCTTCAGTTCAAATGATCGGCGAAGGGATTGCTACATCGATGAACTTGATCTCATCAAGAGCGCGCGCCCGGATACAGGAGCGTCAATTTCAATTTTCGCGGTTTATTTTGAAGGCGGGGTTGAATTTCGCGCCATTCTCAGATCAATGTAATCCGCCAATGGAATCTCTCTCTTTTTACCGCCTCAGCAGAGGTGCTCCTGCTGGCGGGAATTCTTATCGCAGGTATACAGAGGTGTGTACCAGCTTCAAAGTCATCGGGACCTGAGTTTGTTTTTAAATAAACATAAAATGTTTCGAACATTGCCGTAGTTTTTTCCTTCTAACTTATGCGTTTCTACACTATACTGATTACCGACGTAGCTAGTAAAATGATTCATTTACGGAAATTGTAAGCCGGTATTTATTTCTCCGAGTTGCTATTCGCTGACGTATGTAAAACACAAAGAGAGACTCAAAAGTTAACATTTCAACATAATTTTTTTCTCGGTCAAGAGCATTAGGTACCCGGTACTTTAGTTAGATTACGAATAAAAGCTAAGGGCGGGATCATAACCAATATATTTACAGGGATGGGGGGCGGAGAAAAAAATTGCTTACAGAATGAAGCAAATGAAAAATTCGCTTTTGATGTGGAATTGACTTAAATAGCTCTCTAAAGAGATCAACCTTAATAATCTGCCCCCCCCCCCC